TAATGGCTTCTAGCTTGTGCGCGGGGCGTGGAGGGGAGGAACGAGAGATCATCGGAAAGGGCTGTTGAGTACTTTGGACCATGCATGCTTTTTTAAAATAAGCGGTGCCGTTTGCAGCAAGCTCTGTGCACTGGATCCTGCAGACATCGCCCCCTTCTTCACCCCCCGCCGCCACCCCGCATCTGCTTCAAGGCGTGCCGTTTCTGTTCTTCATTTCTGGGAAACCATGGACAAGAAACAAGGTATATGTTGCAATTTCCAAAACACGTGGCGGGAAGATCTGAAGAGCCGTTGAGATGGTAAAAAAGGGCTGTGGAATTTTGTCAGTTCGTTCTGTGCGGTTTTGCTTTGTAACCTTGCTCGGAGGGGGTCTGTATTTGCAGCCAGTTAGCTATTTTTAAAGCGACTGGAAACGTGCAGGCGTTGGGTTGAAATGCCAGTTGTAGGTGTACAGGCCGGCATGAGTATGGAAAAATCTGCAGGGTTTGCAGCTAAACTTGTCTTTTTTTAAGCATTTGCCACACACAACAGGCTGTTTGTTTGTTTTTGCACAAAAGTCCCGTTGCACTAGACTTGAGTGCCCAACAGGGAACCAGCTGCAGTTCAGAGCTGTGATTCAGCAGAGGTTAACAGGTGACTTTTTTTTTGTTCGTCTGCAGGCAGCTCTGACTAGAAGGGGCTTTTTATGAACTGCTTTTTCCCTCCTCCCGGTTCACTTGTTGCGCTTTGTTTTCAACTTCTGCAAAAAGTCTACAGACGGCTTCTCCTAAAAAGTGCCCAGTGGGGTGACTGACTGCGCTTAGCATTCCCCCTCCCCCCCCCCTTTGATTGCTCTTTCCAGGCTGCAGAGTGGTGCAAATATTGCCATGACTCTCTGCTGGGAGCCAGTTCCCCTCCTTGCTTCAGCTGGTGGTGCCGTTAGCAAAGGAGATTGCCACCTGCTCTGATATCTTGCCCTTAAAGCTGACTGTTATCTGACTGTTCTTCTGTGGCTGGGGTATGAAACACGGGGTATCCCATCTAGCCGCCTCCTTCATATGCGTTTCTTCATCCCCAAATCAGTGATCGGACTGTCCTGTCCAAGGGTGAACAGAACTTGTTGGATACAAAATCAAACCCTCTAGAGAGGTGTTGCTAACTTCCTTTCCCCCCACCCTCAAGCCAACAGTCTTGTTCTCGCCCCAGTTCCCTCTGTGTGGTAGATTCTATAGCGCCGCTGTCTTTCCTCTGCACCGGGCCTTTCCTGGGGCTGGCACATGGGAGTAGATAGGCCATGAGGCAGCAGAGGTTGCATTTCAAAGGTCAGCTCAGTCAAATAGCTTTATTTACAGTTCTTAAGATTTGTCCTGCTAGTTTCCACCCACGTCAGCCAGTAGGGAGAGGTACCACACACACACACACATACACGGAGGTGGAATTAAACAGCTCCAGGAAATGCAATTGTCTGTTTTTAACTTTTATCAAGGTTGTGGCATGAGAAATTCAGTCGGTGGCTTTCTCTTGAGAGGGAAATAGTTCCTCTCTCAGCATAAAGGACGCAGAGATGCGCCTGTGGTGGCATGCTGGGGACTGGAACCCTGCCTACGCAAGGAATGCCTGCCAACTTTTCCCCTACACTGGTGCAACCAATGGTGGCTCCACTCAGCAGTGTTCGAGGACACGGTAGTCAGTGTGCCCATTCCTTGTCTGCACTGACAATTTCCTCTGTTGGTAGCATCACATTAGGAGAGCTGCACCAGTGCAGAGAATACCTTGTTATTGTTCCCAATGTAAATGTACCCTAAGGCAGCTGAGTACTTGCTGTTGGACTGGGAATGGGTGACAGGGGATGGATCACTTGATGATTACCTGTTCTGTTCATTCCCTCTGGGACACCTGCCATTGGCCACTGTCGGAATACAGGATACTGGGCTAGATGGACCTTTGTTGTGACCCAGTATGGCCGCGCTCATGTTCTCATGGACATGTGTTGTTTCTGTGGCTCTGAGGAGTTGACTGAGTTAGATGAACTATCAGGGGGGTAGCCGTGTTAGTCTGGATCTATAAAAAGCGACAGAGTTCTGTGGCACCTTCTAGACTAACAGACGTATTGGAGCATAAGCTTTCGTGGGTGAATACCCGCTTCGTCAGGTATTCACCCACAAAAGCTTATGCTCCAATACGTCTGTTAGTCTTTAAGGTGCCGCAGGACTCTTTGTTGCTTTTTGAGTTAGGTGAGGCTCACAAGCCTTTTGAGCTCTGCATCCCTGAAATCATGTCATTCCGATTACCATCTCTTTGACTCATTTGAATTCTGACATGATCCTTGCAGCATATGTGCCTGACCCTTGGCTGACGTAAATCGATGGAGCTATGCTGAAGACTGTGGGGCTACCCGGGTTTACACCAGCTGAGGATCTGCTCCCATATTTCTTAAGCTTCTCGTGCTAGAGGTCAATGCATTGGGGAGCTGGGATGAGTCCAGGGTTCACAGGCAGCAGGAAGCATTTGTTTCTATCGCTAGCGGAAACCTTGTTGGAATTCAAGTGTGTGGGAGAGATGGTAATCAAGATGACACATGTGGTTAAGAGCTCATATGTAGCCACTTGCTGGGGCTGGAAATGGGTGCTTTACCAGGAGCTGGTCAGGATGGAAGGTCTTGAGTTGCAGGATTTTGTAATTCTCCTCCCACTCTCTTTAAAAAGTCCTCTTTCCCCCACCCCTTCCTTTGCTCTGAAATGGGGTGTCTGTCTGCTTGTCAGGAGGCAATCACAGTGCACCTCCCTACCTACCAGGAGCAGTGCCTGGCACTGACCTAGTCAATTCTTGTGCTTATGAAGAATGACACAGCTCTGCTGTGGCAAGTACCCCTGGGGTCACGAGAGCCTGCCTTAGTGGTAGAGTTGGTCTGCGCTTGGAGATGTGCTGGCTGATCTTGGCGCAGTGTTGGGCTTATTAAGTATGCGTCTGCCTCTGGAGCAAGAGACTGCTGCCAGAGTACAGAGAGCCCTTTAGAGGATTACTGTTTTCCTCTTCCTGGGGAGAGCCCTAATGATCCAGCTAGAATGCAGAGATCAGCTGCAGGTCACCGGCTCCCACGCGAGCGGTGTGTGCGTTGTAGCAGCTGCGCACGTGGTCATCAATGTGACACTGGGTGAGCGCTGAGGGTACTTTGGATCGATGTTAAAGGCACTGCCAGAGCAAGGGAGTTGGGTGCGGAGCCTGATGGTTTCTCCTCCGTGCCTTGGTTTAGTCATGGTTTATAGATCTGAGTCAGGAAGTGTCTTCAGGGTGTGCCTAGATGAGGGGGCGAGTCACACCGTTGTAGAGAGATTGTACTGCAGCAGCTACCTTGGTAGCTTACTGGAGTAGGTCACTCCTGTGCATGCCTCCTTTGACACGGAGGTAGCGCAGCTATTCTGCTGGGCTGCACCAGAGAGCTACGTTTGGGGGAAGGGGCGGGGGCATGTGTAAAAGAAACAACAAAGCCCCCACGTTCACCAGCAGAGACAGGTCCTGTGCTTGTCTTCTAGCAGAGTGAGGGGCAAGGATGCTTCCATTTTCACCAGGAGCTCTGAAACCATTCCTGAGAGCTGCCTTTTCAGTCTATACCCCCCCTACCACCATGGACCATATAGCGGGGTGCATCAGTCTTCAGTGTGTTTTGTCCTTGCAAAACCACGGTGCTGTAATCTCTGCTTTACAGATGGGAAACTGAGGCACAGAGGCTCTGTCTGCACTGCAATTACACACCCGCATTGCCTCTGGCTCATGGAGCTGTTTAATTGAAGAATAGAGATGCTGTCTCGGGCTGCAGCCTGAACTCTGGGACCCTCCCACCTCGCAGAGTCCTAGAGCCCGGGCTCCAGCCTTGGCCCGAATCTCTACTCGGCAATTAAATAACCCCTTAGCCTGAGCCTCTTAGCCCAAGTCGGCTGGCATGGGCCAGCTGCGGGTGTATGTCTGCCATGTAGACGTACCCAGGGAGACTAAGTGTCTTACCTAAGGTCATGTGGGAAGGCTGTGGCAGAGCAAGGTATCTGTCTGAGGTCTGAGTCACAGGCGAACGCCCTAAGCTCTGCACCATCCTCCCTCTCTGCCATTGCAAGGGGACTGTTCTCTGCGGACATGCAATCTATTAAGTAACGTAGTGCAGAGATGTTTGACTTGGCCCCAGCTACCTCTGGACTGACCCTTATGTTCAGGGCCAAGATGGGAGTCTACAGCGAGTCAGAACGGTACCTGGAGCCTGCCTAGGCACCGGCTGAATGCGTCACTTATCACGGTGCTGCAAGCCTCAATGAAGCCTGTAGCATAGAAGCGGCATTGTATATGCTGCTGGTAGTTACTATGGTAACTTCAGAGCAATAGTGGGTAAATGGGCAGCAGAAGGATTAAGCAAAATAGCTTCCTTTAAACCAGATCCTGCTCATTTCAGTTTCCAGCAGAGACAGAGGCTTTGTAACAGCCCCCTTCAGCTCTGGCTCCCAATGGAGGCCTTAAACCAGCCTCCCTTTCTGTGCCCACAAACGAGGACAGATGCAGTTTTATGGGCATAATGATTTGCAGGTGCACACAAAGGCCTGTGGGCATCTCATTGGGAGGGGCATGCAGGCAGATGTTGACTCGTTCTCATTTGCAGGCACAAAAAAAGGGAAGCTGGTGTTTTATAAAGCCACGGGACTCGTGCTGGATACAAATGCCCCAGGACCCTCTTAGAATGACCCGTCCCCCACCCACAGAACCGCTTCTCTGAGTGGGTAGTTGGAGCTGGACCGTGTACACTGCATGGCCGGGTGGCAATTTGAGACCTGGAGCCTCACTCCATCTGAATTCGCCCTAAGAGGCTTGCACGGCCTTTATCAGTGCACCAGACTGGGTGAATGCACACAGCAGGAAGTGCGGGAGCAAAGGGCTCTACTTTTGGACAAGGTTACATCCCGTTGTTGGGGCTGGGGGGTTGGGCAGGAGGCAGAGTTCTCTTAAAAGGCCCTGACTGAGCAAAGCACTGAAATCCCTTCGTTTTGATGGAACTTAAGTATGTGCTTCTGGGTGGGATTTTCCAGACTTGTTGACTTTGGGCCCACTGAAAAGGAATTCGCCCCTGCAAGTGAATGGGACGTGTGCTCCCAAGTCACTTAAGCCCATTTGGAAAAATTCCACCCCAAGTGCTAAGTAGGGGGGGAGTCAAGCATGTGCTTAAAGTTAAGCACGTGCTAAAGAGTTTTGCTGATTCAGGGCCAAAATGAAGTGCAGGAGAAGCCAGTGAGTCTTGGTGCATGCTCTGCGCTGCTGCTGCAGGCGAATTGGGCAGAGCAGAGAGGTGATCTGAGCTGGCGTCAGAGGGCTCTAATTTGTGGCTCTGAGGTGAGCTCGCGGCACCTGGAAACGCCTGGCTTCTGGGGGTGGGGAATTTCAGAGCTGGTGAATGGAGTTGTGCTTTGTTTCGTGTTTGCTCCTATGGTACTCAAGCAAGTATTCAGAGAAGTATCACCCGAGTGTAAATCTCCCAGGGTTATTTATAGCTTCCCTCACCCAGCTGGGCTCGGTGAGGAAAAACTGCAGCAGTCGGTTTCAGGTTTGCTAGCATGCAGCGTTGACAGCTCGTTAAACGGAAGGCAGACCCTCCAGCAGAGCTTGCTCCATTAGGAGCTGGCCACTTGCTATTGAGACTAGTCAGAGAGCTTGCACCTCGGCCCCCCAAGAGTGTAGGACTGTCGTTGGTTAAGGCGGCGGGGATTTCATTGTGACACAAGTTATGATCCTTTTCCTTATCTCAAGTGTTGCAACTGCACAGTGGGAATGAATATGGGAGCTGCCAGGCTGGTTTTGTTGGTGCATGATGGGGAAGGCGAGGCTAGTAAGAAGGGGCTACTGATCGAGCCCATCTCCCGCAATGGGAGAGGATGGGAGTGCTGCTGGTGCAGTGTGCTTTGGTACTGGGCCTGGGGAGAGGGAAGGGGGTTGCCTTGCTCAGCAGCGTCCCAGTTGGTCTAGGAGCAGAACTGACAGGCTCCAAGGAGGGTCTCCACCAGGTCTCTTCAGGGCTTGGACAGGGGTAGAGAACACCCCAGAGGGATTAACCTTTCCATTGCACGGGGTGGTACCAATGGTCATTAACCGAGCATGCCCTATGGGGCAACTCATGGTGTAGCTGCTGCCAGCAAATCTTCCTGGGGTGAACTTTGGCAGCCAGAGGCCAGGGCGTGGTCGGCCGTTGGGTGACCAAAGATGGATGGCTTGCCCAGTGCTCTAGTTCAGCGCTGTTGTGTACGTTGGCCAGATCGCAGGGATTGACTGCGACATAAGGAGGCTGCTGCTCCATTGAACTCTGGAGCAGAGGAGATGAAAGGCAGTGGGTGGTGGAGGAAGGGCCTCTGATTTCCAGTGGCTGCTCTGATCTGGTGCTCTGCATAACGTTTCCCTCCTGGCATTTGTTCTGAGCCATCCTACAGCGTGGTATGAAAGCAGGTGGCATTATTAAGCTCTTTGACTGGGGTGCCAGGGGCTGGAATCCACACGGCCTCTTAGCAGAAACCTTCAGATCTGCATTTTCCACCCTGCCCCCCTTCCATGTCCTGAGCCATTAACCAGGCTGCAGTTTGCGGGAGGAGGGGAAGATGAGAAGTGTATTTCAGGAGCTCTTATTGTCAGGGGCATCTGGTGACATGCACAGCAACAGTTTGTGTTGGGAACATTATGTACGGCTCGTCTGTCTGATCAGGACACAGAGGGCCGTGGCAATTGCTGCCTCTCTGGGTCGGTTGATGCTACTGCAGGAATTCTCCTCTCCTGTACGCACAGCAGCCTTGCTGCCAGTCAGCACTGATGTCCTGCTGTCTCCACTCTGAGATCTCTGCTCCCCCTCTGTTGTGTTCAGAGACTTGGACGCACTTTGACTATGCCCCCGTGAGGCAGGTGGGTAGGTACCATTCCCACTTCGCAGGGAGGTTGTAACTTGCTTACGGGCATTTAGTTGCTAGTAGAACCGGGGAGTTCCTGCGATCAGGTCACTAGAACACTCCTCTCTTCAGGTGTCTTCTAGGTCAATGCGCTAAAAGAGCTGCAATCTTTCTTTTGGTACTTTCACAAGGCTCAGGTAGGTTAGTGTCTGTAAAACGGGGTTTAAAACCTCTTAACAGCTGCCTACTAGCTCCTCCCGGATGAAATCAACGATACTCTTGTGCTGAGTGAAGCTTGTGGGATCTGGTGGCTTGGGTTTCTGTCATGTAACATTAATGGTGCGGCGACCTCCTGTGGCCAAAAGATCTCTATCAACCCAGCACAGTTAACGCATAAAATAAGAGGGGAGCTCGGCTTATTGAAGGTGCTCTTTTTGCAGAGTCTCCGCTGTAGACTGCAGCTTCTATGCCTAATGAATTCTGCCGAATTTGACAGAACACCTTAATTGCAGGATATCCTCTCCAATTCTGCTGCAGCTCCATTTTGTGAGCTTCTCCTACCTTTGCGGAAAGTACAAACAGGGCCTCTTTCCTTTTCAGATGTGTGTTGAGTGCTGGAGTGAATTTTGTGTTACCCAGTAGCATGGAGGCTTGATTTGTACCAAGCCTGGTCTTACTCCATTAAAACTGATCTAATCTTTCTCTCTTTTTTTTTTTTTTTAGATCCCAGAGGATCTTTAGAGCCAACCAAGCCAGGTAGGTGCCCAGCAAAATGATTTATTTAAGCTGATCTGCGTAATTAAAAGTGCATCAGAGATCATAAGAGCGGTGTGATCGCACACAGCTTGGCCAAGGTGCTTTGCCAGGCCCCTTTTTGTCCTGCTGTCCTTGGACAATGGTGTTCTAGCCTGGGCTTCTGTGATGTGGACAAATGTCCGTTAGTGGCTGTGACGAGACCTACAGCCTGTTTTCACTTGTGACTGACACAAAATGTAAAGCCAATGGCTTGATACTCCCCTGCCCTGTTATCACCTACAGCTGGTAGCACTACACCCACTTCCTACAGGTGTTGATGACAAGGTGCAAGGCAGAGGAGAATCAGGCCTCTGGTCTCCCCAAAAACGAAAGGCTGGTGCATCTGGTTCCTTGCACCACTTGCCTGTTTTTAGAGCCCTTCGAAGCCCAGTTGTGCTGGAGTTGCCCTGTTCCTTAATGGGACAGTCATGAAGAGAGCATTCCCCGCCAACTTGCTCTTCAGTGTCTCTTGCTGGCTACGTTCTGCTGTGACATAGACTGTTCTCAAGAGGTAGGAGGGGGAAACCACCAAAGCAGTTGGAGAGAGGAGGAACAAAAGACTAGACTAAGGAGAAGCCCAAGGTAGATCGGTTTCCCTTACGGGCCGAACGATCTGGCACAGGGAGGTTAAGACTGGGCTCTGATATCTGGCTTCGAACCATTTCTGAACCCCCGAGTTACTTCCTGTTCTGCTTGGATCCAGCTATAATGGAAAGCAGCCAGCCATCCCCGGGGTTCAAGCGGCCGTAACTTTGCAATAGCCAGTCTATACTTGCAGGGTAGAAAGATGCTTTGGGGAGGGGGGAAATTAGCAAACGTGTCTGTAGCTGTCAGGTGTCTCTTCTCTTTTTCAGTGAAAGGCAAGAAAAAACGGGATCTGAAAATAACATGTCCCCCCATCAAGCAACCTGTCGTGAACCCAACGTAAGTCGCTGCTGCGGAGTGCTGTCTTTCCATGCTCCTGCAAGTCTGCCTTGAGATTTCAGGCAAAAGATTTAAAGATTTGCCAACGCAAGAGGAATATTCCATTTCAATTTTAGAAATCCAGCTTTCTTTTAGTTCTATTTTTTGGTGTAAATTTAATTTTTAAACCTTTTTTCTCGGTATTGTGGTAGCGCCTAGATGCCCAGCTCGCAGTGGCATTGACCAATCCACGCAGCAAGCCATTGATCTCTCTGACGTGCTGCAGTGTTGTGTGTGTTAGGATTAGAAGCGCCATGTGACCTGTGAGCCGGCTGCGGGCGTCAGAGCTGGGAAATGTTATTTAACAGGCCGCTGGAATCTTGCTGCATCGGTGTTAATTTCAATCATTAACTCACTAATGCCTTGGTACAAGGAGGGCCCAGAATATCTTGTTTGTTTTTGTTGCCGCAATCTGGTGCCTGTGTGTGGTGCCCACTTGTATCTCAGCTCACTGGAATGTGTCTCTCTCCTGTTTACTGTGGAAGTCATTCCTGGTTGCACATGGGATGGAGAACCATTTGTAGCAGTGATCAGAGTTTGGCAGCATGCAGACAGGTACAAGGCCCTGCCCGCCCCTTTGTCCTGACCTGCAGCACCGCACCAGGTTTATTCCTAAACCGCTCCTAGCAGAGACCACCAGTTGGCGAACCATCAGGCTCCTTCAGTTGTGCTCCTCTCAACATTTGAATGCAAGTCTCCAAAGGGGAAAGCCTAATGTGTGAACCCACTGTTATCTACCTGTCCTTGTCCTCGCTCCCAGAGGGCTCCTCGTAAAAGGGATGCTATCCAATAGCTTAGGCCCCAAACCTAGGTTTTTCTGAGCTTTACAAAGTGTAACAGAAATATTTCCGTGACCTTGGAGAGCAGTGCAGAGCTTTTGCTTTGGAATGAAACCATTCCTTAAAGGCAGACGTTGCAATGTTGTGCTAGCACACGAGAACCCGGAGGCTAAACTTAACTAGCTGTTCTTATTCTCCAAGCTAAGGAGGAGTGGCAGCGAGGGGGGAAGTAATCATGCTTGAGCAATGGAAAATAAACCTAGATTTTAAAATATATTTTAACAATAATTGAAGGTGGTAGATAGTTGCAGCACAGTGCCACTAAAATGTTAGGTCTACTTGTGACAGGTTTCAGAGGGGTAGCTGTGTTAGTCTGTATCAGCAAAAACAATGAGGAGTCCTTGTGGCACCTTAGAGACTAACACATTTATTTGGGCATAAGCTTTTGTGGGCTAGAGCCCACTTCATGGGATGCATGAAGTGTCAGAGGTGAGTGAAACAGGCCCTTAAGTAAACAAAACGCCTCATCTAGGAAATAACTTCTGTCTTCTATAGCTGGGTTTTTCATGCTACTTGGCAGTTATGTTGTGTTGACGGTGGATGTCATGATGTGACCGGCTGGGCTAGTCCACCATGAAATCACTGAATGTCATAAATCAGTATCTCTGGCTGATCTCCTGATGTGAGAGAATCTCCACTGGCCCATTGGTTGGATGTATTTGACTCCTTCGGGTTGACTATGGCCCGGACTCAGCAAACACTGGAGCACGTGCATCGCTTGAATCGTGTGAGTAGGCAGCGGAGGCTCCGTGCGTGAGGAAGGCTACATATGTACTCCAGTGCTGGCAGGATAGAGGCCTGTATTTGTAAATGGGACCCTAAGGACGGAGATGTGGGCAATGCAAGCGCTTCATGGGTTTGAGACCTGCAGTCGCTGATCTCCTTGCTAACTTCTCTTTTTTCCGTGCAGGCCCCCGAGGAACTTGGACTCCAGAACCTTCATTACGATTGGAGATAAAGTATGTTTCAATGGTTTTTTCCTTCTTCTGGTCCTTGCTCGTACCTCGCCACCCCCATAATTAAGCACGTGTGTCAGATCCGTCTGTCTGTCCCATCTCACCAATTGTCAAACCTCTACGAAAGCAGTCTTACATTTCAAAGAGCGTTGAGCTCAACCTGGTGGCAACGTGCACTCCTGCTGCCTCCCTTGGGCTTTCTACAATGGGTTGATATTTCAGTCTGCAAAACCTTCCCCACATTCAGTGATGAGTTTCTGCATCAGGGTCTAAAAGGTGAATGGCCAAATGGTAGAGCTGATGGAAGTGGAGTGGGGAATTGGGAATTAGCAGTTAATCGATTAAGGCCAGAAGGGACCATTCCAATCCTCCAGCCTGACCCCCTGCATGGCACAGGCCAGAGAACTCCACCCAAGTCATGGTAGGTGCCGGAGAGAGTGAGTAATAGGATGATGCGGCTCAGAGGCCTGCTGGAGTGGAGTCCTTGGCTCCCTGAGCGGGCCCTGCAGTACAGAAAGGAACAAGACCAGCAGTGATTCTAGCAGGAGGTGGTTAAGGGATCTGTGCACCAGGAGTGCAAAACCTGTGCTCTTCAGACACGTTGGTTGGAATCCAGACCAAGCTGACAAAACCCATTGTTCTTCAGAGGCAGATAGCATGCTGCATTCCTTGTGGGGCTCGTCAAGGCGGCACCTTTAAGAAGAGAGCCTCTCTTCTTCTGTGCATGGACATGAGGGGATCCCCTGGCCCCTTATTGTAAGAGACGGAGGCTTGCCCAAAATACCTCCCCCCATCTCACGGTCCTGTGTATCCACTGTCAGCCTAGTGACACCCTCTGCCTCAGAGGTGGGGGCCGTCACCTGGGCTGTGAAGCAAATAGGTCTCTGGCACCTTCTACGTCAGGGTCTCGAAATGCACCCTGTGCTGTAGGGCAGCATTGTCTCTGTTTTCTATATGGAGAAGCTGAGGGACAGAGAAGACGAGACTTGTTCAAGGTCACACAGAAAATCTGTGGCAGAACTGGGTCTTCTGAGCCCCAGTCTGTCTCCTTTAGGCCACCGGCCCAGCAATGCTCATGAGAATAGAACAGAGCTCTGCGGGTTCCCTGCTTCTGTCCCAGACGGCGGACAGCGAAATGAGCCACGCGGGTTTGAGGGACTTAATTTTCATGTTCCTTTTTTTTTTTTTTTTAAATGGGCTATGGATAGCATTATGGGCTGGAGAAAGTTGCATGCTGGGAACTTGACCCTTAGCTTCCAGAGATCCTGGGCGAGTCATGTCTATCACACAACACGTTGCAAAAATTTCCCAGAAGACATTGCGCTTTGTATTGATGCAAGCGGTGTACCAGCTGGGGTGCCTGAATGCCGACGTCACTTGCGTCGCCCAAAGTTTGTCGTGTAGGTCTGGCCTTCCTTGGTTAGATCACTTTGGGATCCTGCAGGATAGAGAGTCTTGTGGTGGGTGTGCAAAGCTATTGTGCTTCTGGAACAAATCCACACGCTGCAGAGAACAGGCACAATCCCCCATGTGCAGGGCTGGGATTACAACCCTGATCTCTTGGCCCCCACACCAGGCATGGGCTGCTGCTTGAGCAAGCGGAAATCTCCCTCCCTTGGCAGTAGTAGCAGGGCCCTTATCCTCTCTCTGGCTGCAGGGCAACGTGGCATGTCATGTGGCTTGCTTCAATGCCTGCCTTATCACGGGGCCAATGGACTGCACCGAAGCCATGTGGGAGGGAATGAGCTTACCCAGCTGTGTGAAGCACTGTGCAGCTGAAGGGCAGAAGGTGACCTCGCCCAGAGGTGAAGGACCCTTCCTCCAGTGTGCAGAGCTGCAGTCAGTCAGAGTGAGCTCCATGCACTCTCACTAACGAAGCCGCGCTTGTGTTGCTAATTCCCAGGGCTGTTCATTGCAGGTCTCTAAAGAGAAGCCATGCCTGGGTCTTGGACGGTGCCAGAACCCTTCCGTGACTCCACACCTTTCCTCCCCTGTCTCCCTTGGATTTACCCTGCGATGCCTAGTGATCTAACGAAAAACACCAGCTGGAAATAGCTGTTGCCTCTGCTCATTCGGTCTCTTGTTACGGGCCCTCCTGGGGCCGTGTCAGGCTGTTGGCAGTGGGGCTAAAAATAGTGCCTTAGAGGAGAGCTATAACTAGCTGTTTACCTTCCATCCTGGGCAGGTGGCAAGTCAGATAAGATCGGGATCTCCAGCCCTCCGTGCAGGGGGAAGGGGAAGCCTGCGCTCATTCCCGCAAGATGGCCCAATTGCCTTTGTTTGAGTGGCCATTGGGTAATGTGCATATTAATAGTTTGGGGGGGGAGAAAGAGATGCTTTGTAGCAGCCTGGCAGTGCGGTGCTCTACGGGGGCTGGAGCTCGGGGAAAGGACTCTTTCCCTTGCTGGTCCGTTTCCTTGCCCTGTGGCTCTCCAAGCAGTCCCAGCGCGGAGCTGCACGCTGCCTCCCGACCTTGAGGGATACTAGATGCCACTGAGCGTGCAGTGTACATGCCGCTTGTTTTAATTAAACAAGTGACGGAACTGGCTGGCCAGAAATGTCCCCTCCCTCTCCGGCAGGTGCATGCGGCCTCTTTCCCCTCGGGCTGCTGTGCTGTGGTATGAACGTCTCTACAGCCCCTTGACTTCCCCTTTGTGTGCCGGGGTCTTGCTCTGGCTCCCTGTGACTCAGGGACTTGTGTGCTGCCTGCACATCAGAGTGGAGCAGCATGGGGCAGGGAGACTGCCTGGGCAGAGAAGGGGCATTGACGCACCTGTGATTGTGCCTTGAAACCCAGCCATAGTCCACTGTATCTTTGCAACCCATAAAAATGTGCACAGCGCAGATGCCCTCTTGGGAGCTGGGAGCCTGCTGCTGCACGCTTCGTCCGCTGCCATCGACGGGAGGCAGCCCCCTTGGGTAGTGATTTGCACGGGGTCTCCCGGTCAGCCTAACTCTGCTTGCTGACCTGCCCCCTGCCCTAGCCAGCTCCTTCCAGGATGTGCTGTATTGCAGGGGAAGCGGCTGGCGTCTTCCTGTGCTGGGCAGTGCATGCCTGACGGCTGAGCTCAGGCGTGGAACTCCCCTGCTTCCTGGACCATACGGGGGCCAGAGATATCTGGTGTTAGTGGACGGTGTTGAGAGTTAAAAGGCCACGTGTGGCAGAGTTCTCCCCTGACCATTACACGGTCCGGTGGCTAATACAGAGAGGGATCTTTAGGGCACACAGCACTGTTCCCCCTCCACTCTGGGTGTAACCTGCAGGCGTTGTTTCTGGAGCAGTGTCCTCTCTTGTGCAACAAATGTCTTACCTTACCCGCCCTTCCTCACAGCTTAGCTTTGACTCTTGTGTAAATAGTTGATTTCCTGAAGACCAAAGCAAAACCAGGGGCCATTCCAATCTTGCCTTGCAAAGGGAGGGCTGCAGCTGGCTGGGCGGAGTGCTCGCAGCTTCCTCGCACAATTCTCGGGGCGAGGAACGGATTGGTCTTTGTTGTGCTGAATGGATGTATGAATAAATCTTGGGGGAGTAGCCCATGATTATGTGGGGGGGGGAAGGATAATCTAGCGGATGGAGCTGTGGGTTGGGCTCAAGAGATGGGATCAGCATGGGCACATGCTCCCGTGTGACCTTGGGCAAGTCACTTAATCTACCCTGGGTCTCTCCGTTCCCTGTCTGTTTAATGGGGCTTGCACATCCCTATCTCACAGAGCTGTCGCAAGGATAAAATCCATTCACGGTTGTCAGGTGCACAGATACCAGGGGACGATGGCCCTATAATATCTAGATGGAAAGTAGGGAGAGCCCTGGAGTGGGTGAAGACGGCCCGCAGCCATGCAAGCGTCCTACTTCACCATCTGTGTTCCCCTGTTTAAATTCTGCTTTGCCTTGTAGCAAGAGCTGTAATGTAACAAACTTGATGATGCAAAGAGCAAAGGGGGCGTCAGCCCTTTCTGCTCCTCACTATGTATAAAGATGGCTGGAAAGGGGTGTGTTAAAAAATCTCAACCCTTAGAAATATCAGGAACGTCAGTTCTAGTCTTCATCTCTTCGAAGGAAGCACTGTTGAGTGACTCTCAGATGTGCGGGAAGCTATCCCAGCCCAGGATAGAAGGGATGAGTGGAGTTGACTTTAACTTTGTTGCATTTAACACCTAAAAGAAAAACAGTCTCAATTAAAATCCCTTCCTTGATTAACCAGCTTTCACTTCATTGGCATGAGGGACATTACAGGAATTGCTAGACTGGATCAGACCATCTGGTCCAGGAACTTGGATCCCACAATAGCTAGTAGCCATAGTTTCAGAGGAAGGTACAGGAGGCAGTGGTGGGATAACCTGCCCCCAGGGAAGTCTGTCCCTAACCCCAATTAGTTAGAGATTGGTTTATGCCCTGAAATCTGTTTTGGATCCTTCTAAACCTCATAGGGTTTTTTAATCCGTATTGTTATATCTGTGTACTCTTGTTATCCATCTCCAATCTTCTTTTGATTCCTGACAATCTTGCTAGTTCTCCAGCTGTCCAGGGTAGACAAGATTGCAGTTTCCAAGGTATCAACAAGATGACTATTAATGTTTTTTTGGGGAGGTGAGGGAAGATTCACCTTTCAGGCCGTCCTTCCTAAGAAGTGTAAATAAGGCAGAAGTCTCTTTTCCCTAGTTCCAGTTGCCTTGAATATATGGGGTTTTACACCGATAACAATGCATTGTTCCTTTAAAACAAGGGACTTCTGTATGTCTTAGGGCTGGAGAGTCAACATTTTCTCTCTCCCATCGGTTCACCCAACTAGAAAAGCTTGGGTCCATGATCAGCACTGAATGACATTCCTTCCGTGTCCCTAGTTACATGTCAGTTTAAAGCGGCAGAAAGTGGAAGATCTCTTGGATAGCTGCAATGCGCATGCCCATTGATAAGGTTCCCTAAAGGCCTATTGATTGAGCTTCTGTAGCAGCACATTTGCTGCCTGGCTGGAGTCTGAAAAGTTTGCGAAGCAGAATGGAGCAGGGGATGGACAGGCTTATAGCGTTCCATAGTTCCCAGGATTGCTGGCGGTCACACTTGGGTCACAGCTGCACCCGAGGTTGACATATGGCTTCCCCGTATTTCGTGTGGAATGCAAGATGGTACAGGGTAGAGCGGGCCCAGCATTCAGCTCAGGTTTGCTGCTTATTCAGCCACTATAGAAATATCCTTGCACCAGCAATTCTGACACCAAGAAGTGTAAGTGTGTGTGTGTGTAATGGCAGTTTGCTGTGGGTTAAGGGATACAGTACTGGGCTCTGACTGCCAAGTGTTTGTGGAGCACTGGGCTTCATACAGGTCCTGGGGAGGAAGGCAGCAAGGAATCTGCTTTCCCGTCTTAGCAGTTATCTCAAACATGGGGCTGGGAAAATATACAGTACCCAGGCTTCTGTAACAGCCAGCATATGACTTTGTTAGTCAGACACAGTATGTGTCTCCCTGCGTCAGGGCCGCTGCAGAGTTCATCTGTGGTGGGTTAGTGGCGCCAGTGTGTGTTTAATTGATTTCAATGCTTGAGCAAAGCCACTTAGTGAGACCATGGTGTGGAAGCACTTGGCGGAGGTGCTCAGGCGGGGAAGGGGACGGTTCGCTGAGCCCGGCTCGCTGTCCTGTTTAAATCACTTCACAAAGGCAGTAACCTAGCAGCGTGCGGTGCAGTTGCAGTCTTTAGAGCATATTGCGTAGCAAGTTATGTGCCGCTCTCCCAGCCACGTCTGCTTGCGATGGCAGCTGAGTCTCTCACGTTAATATTGTCACATTGCAGACACTGGTCCCTGTCTAGCGTGGAGTGCTGGCCCAGTCTGGGCTGTTAGGAAATGCTTTAGGTGAAGTGTGTCCCAGCCAGTGCAGGTAGAAGCCCAGCCTAGGCCACCACTTCGTTGATTGCAGCTAGCACCTAGTGTGACTATGGATTCATGCTGGGAGATTGTCAAACGTGGATACGTTTCAATAACTTTGGATGGAGCCAACTTCACAGGGGTCTGGTGGGAGGAGGCGCTCTGATGGCCTGAATTCAGACTTGAGTTCAGCCCACTGGATGCGGTTAGCCCTAAGCAGGTCTTCTCTTTGCATGATAGCATCTCCTGTGCAGTGGCAACAGGTACGGAACGGGTCTAAACTGGATGGTGCTGGGTTTCCAGCATGGTTGAGTATGTCCAATGGACGCTCCACAGTGTTTCTCCTCTTATTCGCTAGTCAAGTTGTGGTGGGACAAATGAAAAGTGGGCTAATTAACCTCCCTTGCCCTTGCAATGTGAAGTTGTTCGTCTGACCTGCTTACAGACACAGCGGTCAGTGGGGACGAAACCTGGGACCAAAATTTTAGGTCTATCACTTGAGCCAAAGAAGTAACTTCGCTAGCTGTGCGTATTCAGCAGGCTGCTATAGTCCTGTGGGCCACCTCTAGCAGGAGTCATGACTGAACTACACCAGTGTGTTACGGTCTCATCAAAGTGAATGTCTGGGGCGGACACTTCAGGTCAAGGCATGGTTCTGTGGTTGGTGTCCATTTTCGTGTGTGGCAGTCTGGGGACGGATTGTAGCTCCTTCGCTCTTAGTCATGTTTCGTCCGTTTCCTGTCGGTGCTGTTGTAGACTGTAATGTGTCCTCTCTCCTACAGAACTTTGAAGTGGAGGCCGATGATTTGGTGACCATTTCGGAGCTGGGCCGTGGGGCCTATGGAGTGGTGGAGAAAGTACGGCATGCGCAGAGTGGCACCATCATGGCTGTCAAGGTGAGACCAGCACACTGGGGTCTCCTGCAGCGGAGCGTGAGGATCTAGAGAGCAGGGAGCAGCTCCTCTAGAAACCCAGTCTAGCTCCCGTTGGAGCCGATGGAGAGAACCCGAGTGACTCCACTGGCTGTTGGATTGAGCCCCCATCTCCATGGGTACCTGGATGTGAAGGAGACCCTGCCTAGCTCCGTGTGTGACTCCAGCATTCCATTGGTGGGGCTGGATTTGGGGAGGCACTTACTAGGCGAGTGGGAAAGCATGAGCAGAACCCACCTTCCTCCAGGGAATGGAGCGCTACTCCTGCAGGGCATGAAGCTCCGAAGCATTTCAAAGCTCAGTGCATGACATCCCAGCCACTTCATTCGTGCCCTTGGTCACTTGGACCTGCTGTGTAGGCCACTTGGACCTGCTGTGTAGGCCACTTGGATGTCTAAGTGCCCATTCAAGGGTTGGCATGCTTCAGTGCCTGCCACGGAATCAGCCAATGGTAGTGGAGACTCCTATCCCTCAGTGGTACCCACGTACACCACCTGGAAATCTGGGACCTACGCATCTAAATGATGTAAGGTGTGGGTGCAATTCTGTGCATCGTCAGCACTGCAGATGCAAGATGAGGGGCCTAGTGAAGGTTAGGTTAACAATGGGGCCCTTAGACCTCCCATTAAGTGCTTGGAGCTTTAAGGTGTCACATGTGGGCCCAAGAACATAACCGTTAGCTAATGACTTTTTTTTTCTTTCTCAGAGAATCCGAGCGACCGTGAACACTCAGGAGCAGAAGAGGTTACTGATGGACTTGGACATCTCCATGAGGACAGTAGACTGCTTCTATACAGTCACCTTCTATGGAGCCCTCTTCCGAGAGGTAACGGGGCAGTATTAGGTCTGGCGCACCCTGGCAGCTCAGGTCTTAACCTGCTTATGGTATGGGGTGAAATGGTTTCTTGAAGAACCCCATATCCAGCCTCCCCTTGCCATTCTGCATGGGCTGTTTCCGTGGATGGTTGGACTCCAGCATGGCACAGATCCGTCAATTCTCCAGAAGGAGTAGATCCTAGGCCACCATATTACAACCACAAAGTGCCAAGGAGACTGGGTGGAGGGGTAGTCTCTCTCTCCTCCTCTGTCCCACCTCCATACTAAGGCTCTGATTCAAAGCCCATTGCATCCATGGGGATCTTTCCATCAACGTCGCTGTACTTTGGACCAGGCCCTAAAACAGTACTTGCAACGGTATCTAAGTGCAGTTTTGGCCCATGTGTCTTCATCCCGCCACGCCCCAGGCAGACATGATGCTCTGATACAGAAGGAGCTGCTGCGGGCAAACCTGTAAGCTGTTGCTGTAAGCATCAAAAGGGCAGGGACTGGCACCTTCATTTGATCTCAGGATGATTCTGTGCAAGGAAATTCCTCCTCCTCTTCCTCATGAACTGCTTCTCTCCTCATTAGGGCGACGTGTGGATCTGCATGGAGCTGATGGACACGTCTCTGGATAAATTCTACAAGAAGGTGCTGGAGAAGAAGAAGACGATCCCCGAGGATATTCTTGGGAAGATCGCTGTGTCTGTGAGTGGCTGACTTTCTCTCGGCGAATGCCGTGTGGTGTCCTTCAGTACCATCCCCCGGCCGACCCCACCTTTGACTCTGGAAGCTTGCAGTGCCCCAGGGCTTGGCGCTGATGCATTCTGCACAGGTCCTAAGCATTGTGACGTTCATATGTATGCATGGAGACCACGCGTTGCCGGCGCAGTTGCCCTGAAGCTAACGGCACAAGCCACCTGTTCGAACACGTACTCGTTTAGAAGCTGGTGGCGGTTTTGCTGGGAAAGGCTGATGCTGTGAGGTTCAGTGTGTCTAACAAGCTCTTTCTCTTCTACTCTGTAGATTGTGCGAGCACTGGAGCATTTGCACAGTAAACTGTCAGTGATTCACAGAGGTAAGTGCTGGGTGACTAGAATGACAAGCCGGCACGATTCTCTCGCCTTAGAATCCATCTTCAAAGGGCACAAATCCTGTAGGATGCTGGGTGTGTCTGGCTCCTGGATTCATTTGGCAGAATCTTGAGACAAGCTTCAAACCTAAGGACCTGACCCTGAGGGATGTTTGGCACCTATGACTCATTGAAGTTCTTCCTTATAACTAAGGCTGTGTGTCTGTCACGGATTCTGTGACCTCTGTGACTTCTGCAACGGCTGGTGCTGACTCAGGGGCTGCTTGAGCCCCCAGCACCAGCAGGGGATCCTGGGCCGTGTGCTGCCGCGTTCCCCCCCCCCCAGCACCAGCAGGGGTCCCAAGCCCCCCCCCCCCCTTCCCCCAGCATCCGTGGCGTCCCCAGACCATCCCCCGGCCCACATTTTCGTTAGGGGTATATAATAAAAGTCATGGACAGGTCACGGGCTGTGAATTTTTGTTTACTGTCCATGACTTTTACTCAAAATACCAATGACTAAAACGTAGCCTTCTTCTATCCCACCACATGATTCTGGGCCTTTTCTCCTTTCCAGCTTGAATGTGGAACAATTTCATTTCCACATACTTCCCACTCTCATAACCTCAGCTCCTGAAGAATGAGCATAAATTGCAGACTGTTAGAAAAATCCCCTCAAATTCCTTGCAGCTGGCCAGGGGCGGAAGGATGAACTCGTGGTTAATACTCGGGACCTGGAAGTCAGGAGACTTAGGTCCTCTTCCTTGCTCTGCTATAGCAGAGGCATAACCTTGGGCAAGTCACTTAATCTGTGCTTCAGGTTCTGCATCAGAGGAGATCTGTCTGCTGCCTAAGGAGGTAGAGGCTTAGCTCATTGTCCTGGGATATAAGGTGCCGTAGAAGTGCAAAGCATGCTAAAAATAAGAGCATATAATATTAAAATCCAGGATCAATGGGGCTTTTGACTTCTGGTCTTGTTTCCTTTGGCTTATCCTCTCTCCCTTGAGTCAGCCAGGATTCCCTGCAAAGTCTCTACCAGATAGGAACATTGACTTCCTGGTTTTAAGCCTCCTTAACTCTGTCGCTCACTTCTTTTGTGCTTTCTGAATTGAAGGCGTAATCCGCTCCCTCTCTGTAATCCTGTTAGATGTGAAGCCTTCCAACGTTCTCATTAACAAGGAGGGGCATGTGAAAATGTGCGACTTTGGAATCAGTGGCTACTTGGTGGACTCCGTTGCTAAGACCATGGACGCTGGCTGTAAACCCTACATGGCTGTAAGTGTGTGTGGATGCGTAATCTGGTCTGTCATCTTGAGCCTGCATTCTGCCTTGGATCAGCTGGGGGTGGGTCTGTCCCCTCCCGAGCTCCTAATTTTAAGTCGGAACAGAATGGGGTAGTTTGAAAACAAACCCCCGCCCACTCCCCTTGGCCTGCCCTGAAATGGAACTGCTCACAGAATGTTCTCTGGGGGCACCGATTCAGCAAAGCACTTGGTTTAATTTGACCATTGGCCCCACTCAAGTCACTGCAATTGGCCCTGCTCAAGTCACTGCACATCTGTATAACTGAGTCAGACGGGTTACTCGCGTAGTTAAGCATGGGCTTTGTTGGATTGGGCACCAAACGTTGTCAGTGTAACCCAGGCTGCTCCCCTGCCATCTTCTGTCCTCAAAATAGCACAGGGAATCGTCTTACCAGCCTGGCTGTTGGCAGAAGATGCCTGTTGGTGGGTTGGCTGCCTCCTCATTGGCTAGACACTTAGTGTGCTGACATTTCTACTTACTGAGCTAATCAGGATTGTTTCACTGCTTGCCTTGTCCTCCCAGCGCCCCGCCCAGCGTTATCCACCTGTTGCTGTCTTGTTATCTGTGCAGACTGCACATTGCTTGGGGCAGGACCTGTCCTTTTCTCAGATGGTTGCACAGTGCCTGGCACCAGGAGGGCCACCATAACTGATAATAGCAGCAATTGCAGTAGAAGCCATTTCTGGGAGTTGGAATGTGGGGAAAGAAGAACAGAATTAATGTGGATAAGGCTGATCAAGACATTGCTTTGATCAGTCATGTTTAGAGGTAACCTTTTCTCGGGGGAGCCTATACGCTAACATCAGCCCATGGGGAGCCCACCCAAGCTGGGTTTCGTAGTCCAGGATATACGCTGGCAGGTGTCTGTCCATCTGTCTTCTACGTTGGGCAAATGAGATTGAGTTGAATGCATCTTCCATCTTGTCGTTACAGCCCGAGAGAATAAACCCGGAACTGAACCAGAAGGGCTACAACGTGAAGTCCGACGTGTGGAGTCTTGGAATCACAATGGTAATGGTGCTCGCGCTCTGTGGTCTGTATGACCACGCTGGGGAGGGCCAGGTGGGCCTAACTCCGGCTTCTAGCTTGGTCATGCTTAAAGCGGTTTGGAAACTGCCACCCCAAGAGGATACATTCCAGCAGAGGCCAAATCCTAAGGCCAGTTCCTGTTCACATCTATGGGAGCATGACTGGATGAAGACACAGTAAGGGCCTCTGGGTTTGGCCCTCAACAGACTGCCGTTCTCCCTGTGTTCTCCGGTACAGCTGTTTTGCTCCTCGGGCTGTGGTTTTTCACAAGTATATTGTGCAGTATCAGGTTAGCTCTGAGCCACTCCCCGCTCCAGAGGGGCTTAAATCCCTTGGCAGGCAAATGAAAATGTCAGGCTGGGCTGTGGGCTCCCAGGGGTGTTGGGTCCAGACTGATGAAGAGGGTGCTGGTGCTACTTGTGGGAAGCCAGGAGTCCAGGCTTTTAACACCGCATTTACGGCCCTGCCAACCCTCCAGCTTCCCTCTTGTGCCAGTCGGGGGCATGGTCTCCATAGCTGGTTACAAGGAACGTGGTTCAGTCTGTAAATAAGCAACAACCTTTCTGCCAGCGCAGCTGTTTGTACCATGTGCCTGACCTGTGTAACAGTGCATTCTGGGAATATCTGGGCAAGTCATGCCATAGTGCCCGGAGAACATGCACACAGAGCAGCAGGTGGGTCAATGCGATGTGGGATATTCCACTGCACAGAGAGCTGGGAGGAAGGAGGGCCAGCCAAACCAGTTACAGAAAGCACAGCTTTTGGGGTCTGGGTGCTGCAAGAAGTGAGTTGCACCAGTCTCAAGACCTCTAGCTGGGGAGGGTGGGGAAGACCTAGCTCTCGTGATGCGTGGACACAAGGAATGTTTCAAGCCAGCCACGCCGCTAACTGGTTATAAATCTGATTCATAGTAGTGGTGGCTTAGGGTAGCTTATCTACCAAGTGTAAGAAACTGCTGTTTCAGTGAGCATCTTAAGCCTTCTGGCATCAATGGACGAAGGAAATCCCGGTTCTTGGCTCAAAGAAGTTAAAGCCTGGGAAATGTTTTTGCCTCTTCCAAGAGATAGAGAGGCTGAGTGGGTAGAATTTTTTTTAGGATTTCCCCTAAGCTTTTAACCGTGACATTCATGAAGTTGGTTTGTGCATGCTGCAAAGAACTGCCTTCGCAAATGTTCTCTCCCCCAGCTGCCCCTCTCTCTCTCCGCCTGCCCTCCCCCCCCCCCTGGCAAAAGCAACCTCCAACACTTGTGCGTTTTTTCTGTTTGAATTTGCATCCAGTCTGGAGCTGAGCTGACTGGACACCCGTGCAGCAGCCTGGAAATGTGATCATGCTTCAGTTTTCCTCCCAAAATGCAGGAAGCCGTGCAATGAGCGATTGTGTGAATGAGGAAATCTATCAGCTTATTTAAAAGCCAGAGGGAGGGCTCTCCTGAAATGCTGCCAGCAGGCAGCTGATTTTCGCCCCAACCTGTGTGACTCTTACTAATGTCTTCCTCTGGGGTGGCTTCCTGTTTTTGTAACCTAATGGGGCTTGATGACTTCAGACCAGCCTGTTTTCGGGACGGTTGGCTAGTACCAAATAGGGTCTTTTCGTGGGCGGGTTGCACACAGTTTTCCAGCAGCTAGAATCCGAATCCAGGCTGGTCACCAAACATGAGATCAAAGCCTTCTGGGGCTGCTGCATTGTGGGCCCAGTGTCCCTGCGGGGTGTCAGAGAGCTCATTGAGGGCTCCTGCCTGCCCTCCCATCCTGGCATGTGCCAGGCAGGCAGTGACTCTTCCAGCAGGTAACAGTGCCTGTCTGAGGGCAGGCATGAATCCTCTGTAACGCGGTGCCATACCCTGCTGCCCCTCACAGCACTACGTAGAATTTTTACAGGGCAACTCTCATTGTAGTAGTTAAGGGCATAAACGGCAGAGGCTAAATTTGGCACAGCTTGCATCGGGCCCTGAAGCTGGCTAGCCTCTGGCTTCTACGCGTTCCAAACCCTTCCAGAGCTTGCCGGGCCACTGGCCCGCAGCGTTCTCCTTTAGGAGCCAACCGCACGAGCCCCCTACCCGATCTTTGCTACCGAGACAGGGTGTGTGGCGATGTACCTTAAAGATACAGCTGCGGCCGTGGCCCCGGAGAAGGGGCAGCGAAGCTGTCTAGAGATGCGGGAGAACGTGCAGTCGAGGGGAGAGGAGGAAGGCTGAGTGTTTTAGCTCTGAAAGAAGAGCTGGAGGGCAGTAAGCAAGTATGTGGGGAGTACTCGGAGCTGATCAATCCCTTCTGTTCCTATTGTCCCTCCTTTGCGCGAGCTCCAAGTTACCATCAGACTTAAAAGAAAAGAAGCCTCTGGAATGTGCTCCCGCAGGAGGCTGGAGATTTTTGTTGGATTTGACGAGGCAGCCTGACTTTGACCAAGAACATTTGGAAATTATGCAGGCCAGGGTAGAGGTGGTTGAATCTCCTGATTCTGGGCATAAGCCGATCACCAAATAAACATCCTTTCTCTACGTGGCCAGCATGACATCATGCCTCTGGGTGCCTGGTAGGATTTTGCATGCCTCTGAAACATGCAGCAAAGGCTGCTGATAGAGTAAAGATAGGAGGTTTGGTGGATTCATGGTCCAAGCTGGTATAGCCAATTCTCTGCTAACTAATTCTCTTCCATTGGCTTTCCTATTCCATGGGCGTGTCTTTTTGTGTAGTAATATTCCCTGTAGGGGTTCGTGTTAACTCAGGAGAGTGTTAGGAATCTTAAAAGATGCCCAGATGCCACATGATGGACATGTTGAAAACGGGCAGAGTAATACTGAAGGGACATTTAAAAAAATGGAGAACATTTAAAAAAAAATCAAAAAAATCCTGTGTTTCAAAATTTCCTAGGAGAATATATAATACACTTCTACTCCGATAGAACGCTGTCCTCGGGAGCCAAAAAATCTTACCGCGTTATAGGTGAAACTGCGTTCTATCGAACTTGCTTTGATCCGCCGGAGTGCGCAGCCCCGCCCCCCCGGAGCACTGCTTTACCGCGTTATATCCGAATTTGTGTTATATCGGGCTGTGTTATATCAGGGTAAAGGTGTATATGGGTGAGAAGCCAAAAACTAGGGGAGGAAAAAAAATTGGAGTTGTGGAAAAGCATTTTAGCTTCTGGTTTCATATTTTTTTTAATGAAAAACTGGAACCTTTTGGCAGGAAACTTTCACTTTGGTCAGAAAGTTCATTTAAAAGCGTCACCGTTTTTTCACTGAAACAGTATTACCTACTAGTGCCCAGATGGGGGCTATCGGCTTAAAGCTGGTATTGCTGTTGTGTCTAGGAACCTGAGTCATGGCCCAGGACCCCTTGTGTTAGGTGCTGTACAAACACAAAGACAGTCCCTACCCCAGAGAACTATCTAAGTACTATGATGCTGCAGAGCAGTCTGAGGACGGACATGCAGTATAGCCAATTCCTCATGGCTGCCTTTTTCCTCCCTTCCCCCCCCTAGATCGAGATGGCCATTCTCCGCTTCCCCTACGAGTCCTGGGGTACCCCCTTCCAGCAACTCAAGCAAGTAGTAGAGGAGCCTTCGCCCCAGCTCCCTGCGGATCGCTTCTCAAAGGAGTTTGTGGACTTCACAGCACAGTGGTGAGTGTCTGAACTGAACCCCATCAGTCTCCCATCTGAGCCTATGGAGGCTTCCCGATGCCGAGTGCTGGTCTCCTGTATCAAAGCACAAAACTTACCTTTACTCTGCCTCGGGACCCCCCTAAGTCTTCCCTGTCCCCTCGTCCCGAATCACCACTCTCCTGCAATCTGTGCCGCAAACGCCCCACTGATCGGTTTGGTTTCCTGCCCTGAATCAGCTGGGTCGGCTGAAAAGAAACCGATTGCTCCGCCGCTTTGTACGGTTCACCCTGTTGGAATTTCGGTGATGACTGGTTCAGCTGCAGAAACTCAACCCAGAGCATCCTGGTGCATCTGCTGCCCAACGCTGCCTTTGGCTGCCACTTAAAATTGGGTGAAGGTTGATTGGGATTTTCAGAGGATAAAGCACATCTCAGCTGGGCTGCGCTTCGCGCACCATTTTAAGCACAACTAGGATCTGCACCGTAGTAGCCTTCGGCTCTTAGCTGGGCCTATGATTCTGGACTAGGTATTGGCATGCGGTATCCGTCCTGTTGGGTGGTACCAGACCCTCTCATCTTGGGCATAGCTTGCACGTGCTCTGGCTGTACAAGGTGAAGGGTGAGGTTTTCATGTGATTGATTACCAGGCCAGGAATAAGAACCAGGAGTATTTGTGGCACCTTAGAGACTAACAAATTTGTGTTTGCTTTCCGACACTGCTTTCCTATTTGCCTGCCTAATTGATTTGCTAGGCTCTTTGGTTCAAAGCCAATGCTTGTGTAACCAATGGGAGTTAAGAACTGGTAGTTGCCTAATAGAAAGAAGGGGATGCTGGCTAGCGGTCTCCCACTCCTGGGATGAAGTCAATGTATCATGGACATTTTTTTTTTTTCTGTTCCAGCTTAAGGAAGAACCCTGCAGAACGAATGAACTATTTAGAACTTATGGTGAGTGTGGATTTTTATTCTTTGATCTCACAAAATCTTGGCCTGTAACTAAAGCTATGAATGAATAGGGGCTGTAAGAACCCAGATAATCTGCTGACCGGCACAGAGGAGGAGCTGTAACACACGCCCATCGGCTGGTTACACTGGCTTCTGCTACCTGTGGCGCAGTGGGGTTGACTCCTCCCCGGTGTCTGACTTTGGTCTTTGAATCTTGCATATACTTCGAAAGCAGAGGTCACAAAGTGTGAAATGAATCTGTTCAGCTCAGTGTCCTACTGAGATTCAGCCCAGGGCCTCAAACGTGCTGTCTAAAAGGATCAATGTACCAACCTTAGGCATTCTTGTTGTATTTGCCTAGGGGTATGGTTGTGTGGGAAGAGAGCCACCACAATGTATTGCTGACTTTGTGACTCCTGCCACAATTGTGTTCAGTGTTGTCCTTCCTCATGCCCAAGCTGACCCCATCCTGGTTCTCGTTGGCAGGAACATCCTTTCTTTACCTTGCACAACACCAAAGAGACTGACATGGTCTCCTTCGTGACAGAGATCCTCGGGGAAGACTCCTAACTCACCAGCCTCGCTGCCACGTACAGTCACTTCAAACCAACGTCCTGGCTTCCCTGCACAAGAGAGAATGAGGACTCATGTTCACGGTGGTTTGCACAAATTGCATCTCCCCTGCCTGTGTTCATCTCCAAGCCAGCTGAGCGCGGGGGCACTCTGGTTTTTATCACCTGTACGCTGAAAGGGACACAGGAAGGACCTTGGAAATTGACACACGTAGTGGTCACTGCCGTTACTGACTAACCCATGGGACCGAGTGGGTTCAGGAGATGACCTGCTGGGGCCAGACATTCCTCCTCAGTTGTGTCAGGGGAACCAGACTCCTGGTATCTGAGTTGAGGAATCTGCTATGCCCGAGGATGGGGCCGGGGGAGTATGAAAGTGCCCTCCCCCACTACCAGTCTGGTTTCGGCAGTGAAGGGTCCAGAGAATATTTGCACTTGCTCCCTCCATTGTGCAGCAGAGCCAAGAGATCCTTCTTGCACTCTCCAGTCTCCTGTCCCTGCCTCTCCGAGACCTGGAGAGGTGGGGAGGGGGGTCTCTTCCTGAGCCACTGGGGGCCAGAGGGTGCACGGGCTGCCTCCATCAGAGTTCAGTCTTGTTCCGCCCTCACCGCCCAGTACCCTGGCTGCGGGGATCCCACAGGTCTCTATTCAGAAAGGGGTCTGTGGAAATCTGTGCACAGCTGCAGTTTGCTGCTGCTTGTGGAAGAGGTGGCGGGGGGTGTCATGGCTCCAGGATCAGAAGTGCGTGGCTCTCGAAGGCCGAGGTGCCCCTCCCTTCCCAGAGCCCTCTTGAGGCAAACCCACAAACAGGTCAGGTCTCCCTAGACTGTTACAGTGACCCCCCCACACACACCCTCACTCAAAAGCCTGTTCAAACAGTCCCAGCTTGTTCTAAGCTCCTGCACCCACGCTCCCTGGGGGTCTGCGTTCCCGTCTCGGATCGGTGACCCGCTTCCCCACTCACACTGGCCAGTGCACCCCTGTCCAAATGGACACAGGCCCATAGTATTTGGGGAGAGGGTTCAACGGGCACCCCTCCCCCAATAAACCGGGCTGGGATTGGCTAGGCAGTTAGGCGGCCAGCTCCCATTGGCAGTCAGTGAGTTAGGTGCCAAAATCCCACCCTCAGCGGGATTTCAGATGTTCATAGAGGCTATGACTTGTCCCCCTTCCCTCTGCCCCCTGGGGCTGGGCCCTCCCACCCGGAGCTCAAGAACTGACCCAGCACTGTGACTCTTGTTGGTTTCTGAGGTTGCTTTAATACCTACTCAGTCCTGTGTTAACCAAAAAAAAAATCGATGTAAAGCCAATGATGTGTAGAGGTGGTGTCGGTAATTGTACATTTTGATGTGTATATACAATGGACTTTGTAACTCATTTCCTAGTTTTAATCGAACTAGCTATAAATTAAACCCTTTCCTTGTGGGAGGAAGGGGGCTTCCCCTTCCTTAACAAATCCACTGTGAAAACCGGATGATGGGTCCCCCCTCCCGCAGCCATAGACGCCTTTAAATGGGCCGGGGAACGGAGGAATGATCTGATTTCTGCTGTGTGTGATCACAGAATGCACATGCCATATGTGGATGACGTTTTTAAAATGAATGAGTTTTCTGATTTTTTTCCCCCCTTTCCAATACATATTTGTGTGTGTGCGTGTGTGTATATATATATGTATATTTTTAAATCCACTGATGAACATACAAATGTATATGTGGCTAGTGGGTTGGTGAATGCTAGCAACTTTCTGGTTACATTTGGGGTGGCCGGGATGGGTCACAACAAGGCCTAAGAATTGTGGGGTTATTTGGGTTTTGTTGGTAAAAATGCATCTTTTTAACCAAACCTCTTTAAAGACCCCTCTTGGAACTTTGTACGTGGGAGATCTGGCTTTCAGGGTGCAGCTCCATTGACTTGTGCCCTGCCCCTTTATAAATCAGGTGCCCTGAGTTCATGGCTCTTGTAGTTTTTCTGCAGAGTCCATCTAAGGGCTTCTCTACAAGGGGAAATTGACGGGAATAGCTCCCCTTGTGGAGACTATGCTGGAATGAGCCACTTTTCTTTTATAATAATTAGTGCACTTCCAGAGCAGAGCAGTTATTCCAGGGTAAGTTGACTGTACTGGAATAGTGTCCACAGCGGTCGTTTTATTGCAGAATAGCTTATTCTGCAGTAGCTGTTCTGGTTAATGTCCCATTTTAGACCATCCCTTCCACAACCAGCGCCGTTTATTGACTGGAGACGGATAAGCCCTACTCTGGTCTATGGTTCAAATAAGAAAGTGATTGAACGCTTTCAGCTGCTCCTTTCTCTCGCCCACGCTGCAAACCACCTGGAACCCTCATGAGACTTGTGGTAGATGCAACTCTACAGGCTTGGGACGGCACCTTTTGCTGCTGCGCTGTACGATTGTATTTTTCCTTGTTGGTTAGTTGGGATTGTTTTATTTTGACTTTGAGCTCTTTTCCCTCCTTTATTTCCCCCCGGGTGTTTTGGGGATTGGCTATCGTTTATTGCGTGGGTTTTGGATGCCTTTCACCTTGCCCGAAAGAGCCCTGGCTCTGGTTGGATTCCAACTCTCCTCCTGATGGCATGGGAAGGACTTTCCTTCTGCCTTTGTATGGGGGAATCCCATCGGGGGAGCAAATCTCGCACCCTGTGACTGACATAATGCCTAGGTATTGTTCTGACTGCCTGCACCGGGAGTAAATCTCGCTCTGGGGTATTTCAGCTTTACCGTTCCGTTTTCTTCCGCTCCAAGGCCTTTATTCTTCTGGCTCTGTTGCTTTCCCTCGGAGGATTGGTGGAAGAACTCCAAGTAACTGCTTGGAACCCAGCTGAGCTTGGAGAAAGAGAGAGAGAGAGAAGAGAGAGAATTGTTGCCGTGGGAGAAGGCCCTC